AGCTAAAAGGGCAGCAAAACGAGGGGTTAGTAATAAATTACTAAATATGTATCCCACCCCCATAAAAAATCTTGCATGTCGGGGATAAATTCATCCATAGGCCAAAATATCAAAATTAGACAAAAACTGGGTAGCTCAAATTAAATGCCAGATTTCCAAGTATATCAATTTTCAAGTGCTAACGGTTGCTGCATAAGTTGCTTGAACAAGTGTTGAAGAGTTGGAGAAGACCAGACAATTTGGGTTAAATTATAACTTATTAATGATGCATAAAGTGCAGTACACGTAACTTTAGAAGAAAGGCCAAAACTTAAAACAGAGCCTAACTTATAAGAATGGAAACAGTAACTAATTGTACATTAGCTTCCCATTACAGATACCTATGCACCCAACAAAAAGAATGTCTAAATTGGTTCCTTGTATTTTAAATAGACCAGAAATGAAGCAAGAAGTCGGGGAGGAAGGAACGGGGGCTAATTTTTTTAGCATGCTTCACTAGTTTCAGTGTTAATTCTAAAGGTAACCTGCTTCTTTCCTTGCTTTGCAAGTCCTAGCTGAGTAAGGACATCCTTGAGCTCCTTTATTCGAAAATATGCTAATTTGTCCTGTAGGAGAGGATAAAATAATTCACCAACCCATCTCAGGAAAGCAAATAATATTACATAATCTGGCATATATAATAATCTCCCCAAAATAATTATAAGATGAAAACAAATAACAATAAGATAGTTCTCATTCAAGACACCTTGGACAAATTAAAAAAGAATAGAAGGCAAGAAAGAACATGCTAAGTCAAACAATCAATTTACTCAGTATTCATTCTTTCGGAGCATATTTAAAATGAAAAAAATAAAGTTTTCCAAAAAAGGCGAACTGATTCTGAGGCCTTAATAGCCTAAAACTGTCTTAGAGTGCTTTAAAAGGAAGGCCTGGGAATCAGCTTCACCCTAAGGAGAGGTAACTAAAAAGAAAACAAATTTTGCAGAACACAGTTTATAGGC